TGTTGAGATGTGTGAAATATGAAGAGACCGAATGCTTATTTGGGATTTTATGATCGTTTTGGTCATTCAAAACTTTGACCCTTTGTGTGGGATGTAGCACAAGGAATGGTCCGATCTCTACCGTCTTTATAACATATCTTGTGTTATCGAAAATGTTGAGATGTATAAAATATGAAGGGAACCCGAAGCTTATTTGAGATTTTATGATCGTTTTGGTTATTCAAAATGTTGACCCTTTGTGTGGAAGGTACCAGAAGGAAGATCTCTACCATCTCTACCATCTTCATAGCAGACCTTGTGTTATCAAAAATGTTGAGATGTGCGAAATTTGAAGAGAACCGAATGCTTATTTGGGATTTTATGATCGTTTTGGTTATTCAAAACATTGACCCTTTTTTGGAGGAGGTACCAGAAGGAGTGGTCCGATCTCTACGATCTTTATGACAGATCTTGTGTTGATAGAAATATTGAGATTTGCCAAGTCTAAATGGAATCGGATGGTTATTTCGCGTTTAATGAGCTTCATGAATATTCAAAATTTTAACCCTTTGTGGGGGAGATACCAGAAGGAGAAGACCTATATATTCCATCTTCACACCAGACCTTGGATTGATAAAAATATTGTGATGTGTGTTATTTCAAGACAATCGAACTCTTACATCCCATTTTATAAGAGTTAAAATTATTCTAAATTTTAACCCTTTGTGGTGTGGTACCTCCACAAAGAGTGGACCGATATATCCCATCTTCACACCAGATTTTGTGCTAAGAAAAAATATAGGCATGAGTGAAATATGAAGAGAACTTTATGCTTATTTCGAATTTTATGATCGTTTTGGTTATTCAAAACTTAGACCTTTTGTGGGTGAGGACCAGAAGGAATGGTCCGATCTCTACCATTTTTCCAAACAGATCTTGTGTTATCGAAAATGTTGAGATGTGTGAAATATGAAGAGAACCGAATGCTTATTTGGGATTTTATGATCATTTTGGTTATTCAAAACTTTGACCCTTTGTGTGGGATGTAGCACAAGGAATGGTCCGATCTGTACCATTTTTAAAACAGATCTTGTGTTGACAGAAATATTGAGATGTGCCAAGTCTGAATGGAAACGGATGTAAATTTCCTGTTTTATGAACTTCATGAACATTCAACAGCTTGACCTTTTGTTGGAGAGGTATCAGAAGGAGTGGACCGATATATTCCATTTTCACACCAGACCTTGGGTTGGTTAGTAGACTTAGCTGACTTGATTAGAGAGACAATTGATGGACGTGATAGTGGTGTTCTTGTTGCGCTGGATATTTCGAAAGCATTTGATTGTGTGGATCATTCAATGTTGATTGAGAAACTGTTCTCATTATATGCATTTGACAGTAATTCTTGTAAATTAATTGCTTCATATTTATCTGGACGTTCTCAATATGTTTCATATAATGGCGAGGCATCCAGCTTACGTAATATTTACAGCGGGGTACCTCAAGGTTCAATTTTAGGTCCGCTTCTTTTTGTTTTATATGTCAATGACATTAGTAGCATTCTGACTAATTGCGACTGTCATCCGTTTATGTATGCGGACGACATTCATTTATTTTTTAAAGGTCAATCAGACTTTCAACTAGAGAATACCATAAATACAACATTAGGTAATATTTCACGTTGGTTGAGAAATAATAATCTAGTAGTAAATGTTTCTAAGACAAAAGCAATGACATTTGGTTCACCTTGCCGACTGAATAGTGGTATTAATATACAGGTTAATGGTGTAGCGGTGGATTTTGTTGACCGCATAAATTGTTTAGGTGTTGTTCTTGATGCCAAGCTTGATTTTTCTTTGCATATTGATGCACTGTACCCCAAAGTTATAAATATGCTCCGAAAATTACACTCAACTGATTTCTATTTGCCCTTATTTGTAAAGAGAAATCTTGCTCATTCTATGTTATTTTCGGTAATTTCCTACTGTATTGAAGTGATTTCTGGTACAACACATGAGTATTTAATGAAATTAGAAAAACTTTTTAACATCATTGTAAGATATGTTTATAATTTGCGTCGTTTTGACCATATTTCTGCGCATGCAGTCCTCTTTTTAGGAGTGTCATTCTCTACTTTTGTTAAACAACGCGTGGTTTCATTTCTATATAAATGTATCTGTTTAAATCTTCCTGGTTTTCAGCGAGATCGGCTAGTGTTCTCTCGGTCTACTAGGAATACGCAAATAATTTTCCCTCATTTTTCTACGTCTCTATATGAAAGATCTTTCATAGTTCGTTCCGCACGAATCTGGAATCAGCTTCCAGCTGAGCTACGACAATTCTCGTTTTCCCGCGGTGTTTTTCGCCGCATGTTTGAAAACTTTGTAGAGGCAAATGGAGGTTAACAATTTGTTTGTTAATGATATTGACGATACTGTATCGTTTGATTAAATATTGTTTTTTTTTATTACCAGCAATAGACTTAAATTTATTTTCATTGGCTGGGGAGCCTTTTTGTCCATATTTTACATATGATTTCTTAGGTTACTTTAAGATACACTATGTAATATTTTTAAGATGTTTTTTTTTATTTTGGAGTACACTTTTGTAGTTTTGATAGTTGTGATACTTATTGGCCTAATGGCTTTTTCATTGCAACATATAAATAAATAAATGAAATAAATGAAATGATAAAAATATTGTGATGTGTGAAATTTGAGGGAGATTCTTAATGGAGTTTACCGATATTGTCCATTTTACCACCTGACCTAGCACTGATGCAAATATTAGAATTTGCAAAGTTGGAGAAAAACGGATTTCCTTTCTCTTTCTAAGCAGTAAATTATTTTCTTAGAAAATTTTTGCCCATCTCCGATCTCGATCTAAGTTTGACAATAATGTTAAGATGTACCAATTTTGGATCAAATCGAATACTCCCCTCGAGAGTTATCGGCAGACGGACGGACATCGCTAGATCGTCTACAAATGTCCTGAAACGTATTTGGTCCAAAGAGACCTATGGCCTAAAACCGTTATTTCGATGAGGCACGTTTTGGCCGTATCAAATGATATATACCCTCTGTAGCCATATACCTGAGGGTATAAAGAGTTAAATTAGGAGATGCATGAGGGAAATTACACTTCTCCTCTAATAATCCCAGGACAATGTGACCCATTGGTTATCCAAAGATTGAAAAGTTATATATTAAAAATATATTGATTTAGATTCTGTTTCCTAAAAATATTTATACATACATGCAAATAATTTTACGATTCGAAAATAAGTTTTGTGCAATTAAATTCAAATATTTATACTAGAAATATTATCGTATTATTTATATAACATTAAAATCTTTAAAAAATAATTTATACACTAAAATATTCATTTTAAAGCTTAATTTAAAATAATCATATTTAAGATTAATTCCTATTTTCAACATCTTAGGAGATTGCAACCGACATTCAATTGACCAGGGAATGGATTCTTGTTCCATGAAAATTTGAAATGTAAAATATTATATTTGCCTCAATTCGAAGTTTGTAAAAAAGAAACGTGTGTTCTTAGTAGAAAGGTCCGGAGAAAGAATCTAATCAATTTATTTTCATTTATGTATACAAGGCCTATAAGACAATGTTTGGCTCCTTTCTTTCCTATAAATTCACAATTCGATTTAATAAAATTTTTCATTTTAAATATTTTTCGTTAAGATTTTTTTTAATTGTACGTTTTTCATAGAATATAATTTTTGTGTGGTTTACTAATGACCATAAATTATGTCGTGATGACCTAAAACTTTGCTCCTTCCCTTGGAGAACGTTCTGGAGATGATGAAAATAGGTGTTTGAGTTATAATTTGTTTCTCATGGAATGACTTGTGATTTGTTTTGTTCGTATTTATGATTAGATATAACCGACATGTGATGGGGTTTCCCAGAAATTGGAAATAACTGTTGCAACAAATGCCAACAGAGATTTACAAACAAAATCCCCACCCAACACATTGCTTAAAAACTAATTAATTTATAAAATACAATTAAAAAACTACGATTATTTGCCACAAAAAAATATTTCATATAAATTATTAGTATTTGACTTTCACAAATTTAAAAATGACGAGATTTTGTGCTTGTTTTTATTTGCTTAGCATTGTATGTATGTAGTAGTATGTATGACGTTCTGGAGATGATGAAAATAGGTGTTTGAGTTATAATTTGTTTCTCATGGAATGACTTGTGATTTGTTTTGTTCGTATTTATGATTAGATATAACCGACATGTGATGGGGTTTCCCAGAAATTGGAAATAACTGTTGCAACAAATGCCAACAGAGATTTACAAACAAAATCCCCACCCAACACATTGTTTGAGTTATAATTTGTTTCTCATGGAATGACTTGTGATTTGTTTTGTTCGTATTTATGATTAAATATAACCGACATGTGATGGGGTTTCCCAGAAATTGGAAATAACTGTTGCAACAAATGCCAACAGAGATTTACAAACAAAATCCCCACCCAACACATTGCTTAAAAACTAATTAATTTATAAAATACAATTAAAAAACTACGATTATTTGCCACAAAAAAAATATTTCATATAAATTATTAGTATTTGACTTTCACAAATTTAAAAATGACGAGATTTTGTGCTTGTTTTTATTTGCTTAGCATTGTATGTATGTAGTAGTATGTATGACGTTGTCTCCACTTACATTAGATTCATTCATTTTATTTGTTTAATTATTTTGTTCTAGATTTTGATTAGCTTACTTTCCATCTATTGTTTTGTATTCTTCTTTTATTAATTGAAAGATAGTACTAAAAGAAACAGATAGTTGTTGTCTTCTTCTTCATTTTTTTTTTTTGTTCATATCACAGCTGCATTTCAAGATTAATTCGCAAATTGGAAATTAAAAAGTTGTTTGATACAAAAAATTTACACACAAAATAAACAACATTTTGCAAATCTAAAATGTGTAGCATAAAGACTTTGAAAGCTTAATTTCATAGATTTCATTCACTTAAATATAAAGCTTAGTTATGATAGGCGTTAACAGGGAGTTGGTTTTGGCGGCATTTGAAAGACTTGAGTTTTGAAGGCTTGTGAGATTCTATTTTTTTGAGGTTTACTAATTGGCAGTTAAAGGTAGATTCATAATGAACATATAAACTTAAGACGGGGCAGTGAGTATTCGAGATATTGAGATTTAAGATAATATTAAATAAAAGGTAAATGGAAGCGCTTCAAAACTTTTCCAATGCCATAGACTGACAATTTCTGAGGGACATCTTCTTATGATCGCCAATAATTATTTGAATTTTAAAAAAATAGATTGGGCTCCTTTCCTTTTCTAATTTTGTTTCATACTCTAAGGCGTTGCTGCTGTTATTGTAAAAGCTACTCATATAATGTTTGATTTGTATGAACGCTATTTAGGCCTGTCTGTTAGGCATTCTGATTTAGAGACTCTCTATTGTATCGATGGGCCTCTACCTCTCTAGATCGTGCAGGTGCTTCCTCAATCGCCTGAGTGGGAGAAATTTGTCCACCATATAATTGTTAGGACTCACGCGATACCACCCAAGCAGACCACAATGGAGCTGTTGTAATTCCGACCACCAACAACCCCAAGGTCTTAGGGGTCACATTCGAAAGCGTCTTCAAATCATCCGCGCATACCGCAGCTATCTGCGATAAGATTAGAAGTAGGAAGAAGGTTCTCAAGTTTCTGGCCGGCATAACTTGGGGAGCTGATACGCAGTGGGAAAATATTCAGTCCTGAAAGATTGCCGCCTTTAGAACCGCAACTTTGTGCCTGCTCATGACACCTGTCGACCCCCTACATGAGGAGGCGAAGGACTTACCGGTGCAAAGCGTAATAAAATGCTGTTAAAGACAGAGCCATCGGAATCACCGTCTGGTGGGTGGGCAACCTCCGCCCAGACACGTAAGGAAAGACCTTCATGATCTAGAGACAGAGAGAGAGAGAGAGAGAGATACATATGTATAAGAGAGAGCCTCTAGATCAACAGACATATCAAGCGGGACTGAATAGTATTCACTGTAACTCGGTTTCAGAAGTCATGAAAGGGTGAATACTGTACTAGGATACCATCCCCTTCCCCTCGCAGCTAAAGAACGAAAACTGCCGCGAAAACCCGAGTAGTTTTGGCTCAGTAATGATCCGGATGGTGCAGCCACCCATCTGCCCGCTTATGGCATTGCTCCAGATAACACGCCACATCTATTTGGCTGTCCAACCACAAACCTACTCAGCTAACTCCATTCTCGTTGTGGACCAAACCCGTACAGGTTGCATCCGTTTTTGAGACTGGACTTAGAGGCAGAACCCGATTAAGAGGAGTCAGAACCAACCCGGCAATATGAGCTGCTACAACAACAACAATGGAGCTGGCTAGCAATTCATTGTTTTTTCGGGTATAAAATCTTCCAAAACATATTCCCTTTTTCTTGAATTTTCTTTACAACTAATAGACCATCGAGTGTTGGAAGAGTTTCTATAGATTAGCCTCGTTTCATTGTCCATCCATACAACATGTTATGTGGACTTTTAAATGCATTTTGATTATAAATAAAAATTGGTTTAAAGTGCCTTCTATACGAACAACCAGTCAAAGGATCTTCTATAGGTATAACGTCTCCAATTTCCTCTAAAACAAATATATTACAGGGCTTTAGAAGCATTTCTATACATTGGCCTCGTTTCCTATCAATTTTTGTTCTTTGATAATACTGTTTGTTATATATCCAACGAGCAATTTCTTCCCTAACCCTGCAAGGGTCATACCCGTTTGCTGTGCATAAACGGAGCTGCGTATGTGGTCTACAAACTCTATGTCTATTTGGTCCTTATCAGTGCAAAGTTTCACAACATGTCACAAAATTGAGCATCTATAATATAGTTTTATATAAATAAATGAGTATAATTATAAATAATAATTTTAAGTAATATACAATTAAAATAATTAAAAAATAATATACAAATGCACATGGAAGTGTCAACACTATTATTTGTGCTTAAGTACATAAAACCGATTTCAAATATCCTATTTTATTGCCTCAACATTTCAAGCCTTTAATGCCGCCTGTTCTATTCCTGTTATTGTTAGTAGAGTCATTGTTTTTTTAGGTACATAAATTGAAGGGAAAACAGATACAGGTAAACAGTATAAATATGCATAGTAAAATATATATATATGTAGATTCTTTTTGTTCGTTCACTTGGATTTCTTCTAAATTGTTTTGTCGTTAGTTTATCAAAAAGTTGGCAACATAATTCTATTAAAAGAAAACATAAAATTTTGCTTACATACTCAGTAACAATTTGTTTGTTTTTCTTTTTTAGATTAGCTTCTGGCATGAGACGGAAAAGTTCCCCACTCATAAGGGTGACTTTTCCTATATTCGAAATCCCTTGTTTGATTGTTTTACAATTTACATTTCATTTTACGTCCCCCTCCTTAGACAACAACCGCAAGCCTTTCTTAAGGGACGGCATTGGACAATGGTCAGTGCCATTTGGATTTTTGAGAATTGATGTCGGCACGAAGATTTTGCGTGAAGATGACGAATAATATCTGTAAGGGGAAACATGGATTAGTTAAGATTTTTGTTTAAAATTAAATACCACAACATTAAAATAAAATGTAAAGAAACTACGAAAAGAATGAAAATCATAAGCATATGATATTTTTAAGAAGGCACGTCTCAAATATTAGAAAACTACATAAAATAATTTAAAATAAAAAAATATATGAAAACAAACCTGAAAGAAAATTGCTATAATTGCACTGGTAGAAATTAAAATAAGATTTCTTTCCATCCACTCCTCGCCGGCTTGGACGCATCCCTTATCATAAATTATTTTTGCAATTTCAAAACTCTAAACAAAAAAGAAAATAAACATGCAAAACAAAATCTTATAACACAATATAAACAATGAATGACTAAAAATATGGAGTAAATTTAAAATTAAAAATCCAAAAAAAAAAATATATAAAAATTAACAACTAATTGTTGACATACAAATTTTTTTAATAATTATTAAAAATAATAAAAAACAAACATTTAATTCTTAACATTTATTATTCGAAAATGTTTTTTCATGATAATTAACCTGACAAAACACCGTCACCATTATATATATCCAAATGGACACAATATGCATTTCCAGAAATTCTTCGCCAGCCCTTAAACAGCCACGTTCATAAATATGTCTATCAACAGGCTGTAGTTAGGGACATGAGTTTGAGGTTAGCAAGTATTTTGAAACAATTGAAAACACAAATATATGTTTATTATTAAAAAAGCGATGTCATGAATGGCTTACAGTGAGTGAGAGGAATAATATTCTCAGAAACAAAATTCTTAAAAATCCACCAATATATCTCTCATAATCCACGAAGAAGTATTCTTAAAATTCCATGATTAAAAAAATATTTTTAAACAAAATACCTAATACAATTTTTACAAAAAAATTTTCCTTAAATATTCACGATTTTAACCGGCCGAACTTTTTATACCTCCATCATTCGGAAAGAACTTGGAAATTTTAAAAAAAAAATCCGCCTGAAAATACCGCTCAAATGAAAACCTTTATATGGAAGCTATACAAAGACGTCGGGCTGCATAAGTAATGTTTTGTCATGGGCTGTAATATCCATTACGAACTTCAAATACCAAATTTGAAAAAAATTCCTGTGAATAATGTCGCTCAAATCATCAAAATACCGAATATAGGGAGTTGTCATTATATGGGGGCTATACGAAGGCGTGGATCTGCCCAGACAATTTTCTGTCATAGGCTGTAGTATCCATTACTAATTTTAAATACCAAATTTGAAACATTTCCGGTGAATAATGTCGCTAAAATCATCAAAATACTGAATATCTGGAGGTGCCGTTATATGGGGGCTATACCAAAACGTGGAGGTAAATGGTCCATTTTCAATACCAAATGTCCTGCAGACATAATATACATTTCAGTAAAATTTGATCAACCTACTTCATTCAGTTCGGAAGCTAGAGAGATTTCCACAGACTGACGGACATCGCTAAATCCACATCGAATTTTATGCTGATCATAGAATTTAATGCTGATATATATCAAAACTCCGCGATTGAATTGGAAATACTTCAAGAATCTAAGATTAAAGCTTTGTTTGCTAAAAACAAAATCCTTGAAATATCAACTATTATAGCTTCGTTGTGTCTTAAAATAATATTCTGCGGACTCTTGAAAAATATTTGTAAAAAATACACGATTATAGTCCCTTACAAATATTTTTTTACAAAATCCGTGATTTTGGGCTCGGTTCGATATTCAGAAATACTCTACCATAATTGTTTTGATTGTACAAAAAAAATTTCTTGAAATATCTTAATTTACTCAGTTCCTAAAGAAGGATTTCGTTCTCATTGGATACTATCGGAAAGCTGTCGTTCATCTTCTTTTACTCACTGTTAAGACACTTCATGATTAATTTCTTATTGGAATTATTAAAAAAAATATTGTAACTCACATATCCTTCCTTGCGGACATCATAGCCACATTGTTTATTCTTTATCAATTCATGCGGTTGACGACGACAGCATGAGAATGGAACCCCACATGCCTCGCGGCTGCCAATTGCACTCGACGAACAATTGAAATAATTATTACTATCCCAATCCTTGGGGCCTTCAATACCACAACATTGTAACCAGTCTTCTTGGATCCAATCGATGAGATTCTGTTGATCCGGATCTTCACGGTAGTGGATGATGAAGGCACGCAGGCCTTCGGTGGCCTGGTCTTTTATCTAAAAAAAGAAATTATTCAAAGTAAGACATAAACTGTGTAAGTTCAACTTTTAAAAGATATTACCCAGCCTTTATCCTTGAGTACTAAATACAAAACACCAAAGCAGACTTCCACAACCAAAAGGACACACATTAGGACAATAAACTGGAATAAAAAGCAATGCTTTAAATTTAATAAAAAATAATTTCCTCATTTGCCTACCGTTCCCAGCAAACAGGTGTTCTCCCTCAAGGCTCCCACACTTCCTGTAAATCCAATCAGAAATGCCACACTGCCCGTACAAATCAAAACAAAGGCTGGATCCAAGACCAACAATGTCAACTTAAATTGATTGCTAAAGGCATCTTTTTCATTCCAAGCCCAGACACCAGCGGCCAAAATGATCAAGCCCGTCATCTAGAAACAAAAGAAAACAAGACAACATTATTTTTGGCAAATGCATGACAAAGCCGTACCACCAACACAACACATCACATCACATATTTACATATTTTGCACAGTTAACTCCCCAAAGCAACGAAACAAACTTACCCACAGCAATGTGTTACACACAAACAACAAATATTTTGTACAACAACTAACTTCTCGAGTTTCATGACGATATTTTCTCACTGGCATTTTATTGTATTTTTTTAATGTGGAAAATCCTTAGGTTTTCTTATAGGAATGTTTGTTATGGAAAATTTATTGCAATTCACGTATTGATTTGTTTAATAGAACATTGAAATGGAAAACAAAATTGTTGGGAAAACAATAAAACAACTACAGAGTATGAGGGCGGCAGAGCCATACAGTCAAATGCAGGCGCCGTTAAAAAGCTACATGAAAGCTTCGCCGTCTTGTCATTAATCAGGGTCGGTTCTGTAGTAATTCTTTTTTCTTTTTTTTTTTAAATGTTATTCAATGGAAGCAAAAAATTTCGGAAATGGCATCAAATTTTAGATTAAGTGTAGATTTGTTCGAATTTGTCACCTTTGACACGAATTATGGCATTCAAACGGCCAATGAAACCATCACAGAAACAGCGGAGAGCGACCATTGACTGTTATGGTGGTCCACACCATCACCATGGCCGGCGCTTGAGTTCTGGTGGCCAACCGAATGTATACATTTTCAGTTGACCTCTTTGGCAAGTAAAAACGACCATTTTGTTTGCTGTTTACAAACTGCTGAACAACGAATGTTTTCTCATCGCAGAAAACCAAATTTGGCAGTTGACTACTTTCGGCCAAACGAAGAAACTCTTTAGCTCTTTTGAGTCTATTTTCTTTCTGTTGCGGTGTAAGTTCTTGCATTTTTGTAATTTCAATGGCTTTACTCGGGTTAATTTTTTAATATTTGCCGAATGGATCTTGCGATGTGGTCAGCTCACGAGTCATCTTTCGGCCACAGCGACGCGGGTTTCGATCAAGTCGCTTCTTTAGTTTTCGAACTATTTCTACTGATGTTGCTGTTTTCATCCATCCATTTCCTTGACGTCGGGCTACGCTACCAGTTGCACGGTAACACATTTAAATGCGATAGCCACTTGTGGTTTTCCAGCTAATATCAAATTTCGGAATTCCGGCTTTATCCCTTCAACCAATCTTGTACCACTTAGCACCATGGTACAATAAAAAGGTATGATAGAGCTATCAGCTGATTACATTTTTTTCTAAGTGTGCCCGACATCTGCCAATTTTTTGTATGTATTTATTGTTTTGAAAAATAAAAACAAAATATTTTCAAAATCAATTATTGGAAGAAACTTAAATTGCGGGGAGCGCATTAATGATATTAACCAGATTTGCCACGGAATTCAAAGATTGGACACTTAGGATTATATTTTTGAGGGAACATCCAGGCATTTCTTTCATCTTTCGCGCTATTTGAATCATTTGAAAAAAGAACAAAAAATATCAAATAAATTAAAACAACTTTTTAAATATATTTTTTGAAAAATTCTGACAGGAAGCGGGCATGGCCTCAGTGGTGTATTTATGTTTTTTACGAAGCTGTCTAACCTCCTTATTGTACCAAGCTTAGCACTTTTGGTCATTCAATTTCCTCTGCTACTTAATTTGATGTGCTGCCATTACATGGCATTGAAATCAAAATGCGTCATACGTTATGCGCCTTCACTACGGAAACCACTGCGCCAACGGATAACACACTTGACGCCGTTAAAACGAAAACCGTCAGCTTCGCCTTATTGCAAAATAACATCGACGGCATTGATTGTTAATTTTTTGCGAAAAATTCTATTTTTGTGGTTCCATATAAAACAGTTTAGAATATTTGATACAAAAAATGTCGGATAATGATGATGATTTTATGTGCGAAGATGATGAAGATTATGGATTGGTGAGATATTAAGCGGAGGGCAGCTCTTGCCACAGAGAAAAGCCGGCTATAAAATGCATTGGCTCTACTAGAATGGCAACTGATTGATTGTTTGCTTGTTTTTGTTCTTGCAGGAATATTCGGAAGACAGCAATTCCGAGCCGGACGTTGATCTGGAAAATCAATACTACAACAGTAAGTCACTGAAGGAGGATGATCCCAAGGCGGCATTGGCATCTTTTCAAAAAGTATTGGATTTGGAGAATGGGGAGAAGGGTGAATGGGGGTTTAAGGCACTGAAGCAAATGATAAAAATTAATTTTAAATTGGTAAGGGAGCTTAAAAAATTGTGTTTATTCGAAAGATAAATAACAGTCTTTTCTTGCAGAACAACTATGAGGAAATGATGATCCGCTATAAACAATTATTGACATACATTAAAAGTGCAGTGACACGCAATCATTCGGAGAAGTCCATCAATTCTATATTGGATTATATTTCCACATCGAAAAATGTGGGTGCAAAATTTACTTACTTTGTCTTTATTATTTATAATAACGCGTTTTTGTTTCAGATGGAGCTATTGCAAAACTTCTATGAAACCACATTGGAGGCCCTGAAAGATGCAAAAAACGATCGCCTGTGGTTTAAGACAAACACAAAATTGGGAAAACTCTACTTTGATCGCAACGAATTTGGTAAACTGCAAAAGATTCTCAAACAACTGCACTTGTCGTGTCAAACGGATGACGGTGAAGATGATTTGAAAAAGGGTACACAACTGTTGGAAATCTATGCGTTGGAAATACAAATGTACACCGTCCAAAAGAATAACAAAAAACTGAAAGCTCTCTACGAACAATCGTTGCACATAAAATCAGCCATACCCCATCCATTGATTATGGGTGTAATACGTGAATGTGGCGGTAAAATGCATTTGCGTGAGGGAGAATTTGAAAAGGCTCACACCGATTTCTTTGAGGCATTTAAAAATTACGATGAATCAGGTTCACCCAGGCGAACAACGTGTCTGAAGTATCTCGTATTGGCGAATATGTGAGTATTTATATTGATGGTAGTTATATCAAAGAGAAGGGTTTTTGAAAGCCACATCCAGCCTCAAAGAGAAATTTTAAAGAATTTGTTGCAATTTTTATTGGAGATCCCATCAGCATGGCGATTTGGATTTTAATGGACTCTTTCTAGCACATCTAGATTTTTTATCGTGGATTTTAAGAGTACATATTACGTGGATTTTCAAGGAACTTAATCAGTCTTTCTGGGGCTTTGTAATGTGGAGTCTTAAAGATTTTTTAAAGCTGCTTTATGGTATATAGGGCTGGATTAAGATAGAGAATCTTTAGACAATACGTTGGTGAATTGTTGAGGATTTTCCTGGCCATTTATGGAAGATTTTTAAAAATTCTTTTAGTGGTTTTTATTGGGGATTTTTGTATGACACTCTATTTTTGTTTGACGCTCTATTGTTTGTATGACATTCTATTTTAGATTGAACGACCATCTTTACTACTTTATCATGGAGTTTTGAAGCATATCTGTCGAGGCATTTATGGTGGATGTTGAGATTCGGTGGAGCATTTTGAATCTGATTTTGAGGAATTCTTAACGGGAATTATTAAAGATAGTCTTAGACCATTTTTCGTAGATTTAAACTACTCTGTTTAGGGCATTTGTCGTGGGTTTTTGGAGATTATCCTTGGGATATTTAATCGTGGGTTTTTGGAGATTATCTTTGGGATATTTTATTGTGATTTCTAAGCATTTGTTGGTATTTTTTTATAAACTATTTTTGAGATTTTTTAGATAATTATTATCGGGAATTTTTAAAAGATTTTTTTGAAGGATTTTTATTTGGCAATGTAGAGATTATCTTTAGAGGTTTTAATTGTTGATTTTTAGAAATTATAGTTAGGGTCATTAGTCATGGCTTTTTAATGATTATGCCTATTTGTTTAATCGTGAATTTTAAGAAATCTCAAGTAGAATTTGTATGCCTCCTAAAGGCTTCTAAGTAGTCTTTAGAAATTCTTCTCTTACGAATTTCACAAATATTAAATTTTCTATTTTATTCCTTTTATAGGCTCATGAAATCTTTCATCAATCCATTTGATTCACAAGAAGCTAAACCCTATAAAAACGACCCTGAAATTTTGGCAATGACCAATTTAGTTGTTTCCTACCAAAATAATGACATTAACGAATTTGAATCGATACTACGCACCAATCGCAGTAACATAATGGCTGATCCATTTATACGCGAACACATTGAAGATCTATTACGAAACATAAGAACACAAGTGCTCATCAAACTAATTCGACCATATAAAAATATTGCCATACCCTTTATTGCCAATGCGCTGAACATCGAACCGGCTGAAGTTGAAAGTCTATTGGTATCATGCATACTTGACAAGTGAGTTGTTGATTTATTTTACATGACAATATAGATTAACTAATTTCCTATTGTTTTAGTACCATCCAGGGACGCATTGATCAAGTAAATCAAGTTTTACAATTGGATAAAGAAAATAGTACCGGATCTCGTTACAATGCCATCGACAAATGGTCCAACCAAATTCAATCTCTTCAAATGGCTGTCATCAATAAAATGGCCTGAGACAGGCCTACGACTACAGTGCATTGTTTATCGACATTTAACCGGTAGAAATGTTGTGTGCTTGTGTGTTCTAAACATCTAGAAGAAGGAAACGAATAAAACTTTGAAATGTCGTATTTGGAAAAAAAATGTTTTTAAATATTTATTTCTGTTTTTCCTTTAGGCACTTATAGTAAGTTTCGAGTTTTTACATTTGTTTGCAATCATCGTACGTAGTTTATATAAACAAAATAATAGAAAACTAAAGATAACAACTAATACCAAACAACCGAAAATCATTAATGTGGCCCAGCCCGGTTGACTCCAATCCAAAATTTCGTAGATATAAGGATTTCCGTTTCTGAAATGGGGGAGAAAAAGTAAGACATTACGAATAATTATTGATATATTAAAGCTTTTAAATTGATATATAAAGCTTTATATTTTAGCTTAGCTATGAGGGAAATATAAAAATACAAGTCCAAAACGAAATGGATCTGAAGTAAATGTCCGGCTATGTACTTAATATGAAAGCTGCAGTCTCTAGAAATTATAAAGGCCACTATTAGAAAATTCATAATTTATAAGGAATGGAAAATCAAGTCTATTAAAAAGTTCCAAATAATTGTCGACCAGAATGATACCTTGAATCGAAGGTGTTAAAAAGAAAAAAAAAAAACATTTTCAATATATAGAGATTTCCTAGTATAGGACCTTTAAGGTCTTCTGAACTTAGACCAGATTAGGACCTTCAGAAGATCTTACAACCGGTTTATACCTTAAATATAAAGCTTATCATCAGCGGAAATGATATGGCACCTCCTTTGTTAAAAGGACTTCAATCTGGAAAGGCTATTCTGTTCGCAGGTGAGAGTATCAAAATGAGGTTTCTAGCTGTAAAAAAAAGCTTCGAATTGAAGGCCTTTTTTTAAAGAACTCAGGGTGAAATGAAAAAATGGCAACCAACTTCAGACTGCTGTCATTTCTAAGCCACTCGTCCGACAGCTGTTAAAATGATTCCAGTGACAGCTCATTAAATTGTTTACAAGCGTACAAAAGCATTTTGGTGAGAATTTTCCAGGAAAAAAGTTATTCGTGATGGAAGTCAAGCGTGATAGTGTGATTTCTTTACGTTTGGCTGGAAACCTCCAAGTGGCTATCATTAGAGCACTCCATCATTTAAATGTGAATAAATATTTTGGGTCTCGCACCATCGCTCGTTGCCGTACTGCAACTGAAAGAAAATAGACTCAAAAGAGCTAAAGAGTTGCTTCGCTTGGCCGAAAGTGGCGAACTGCCGAATTTGGTTTTCTCCGATGAGATAACATTCGTTGTCCAGCAGTTTGTAAACAACCAAAATGATCGTGTTTACTTGCCAAAGAGGTCAGCTGCAATTGTGCACCATCAGTTGGCCACCAGAACTCATGCGCCGGCTATGGTGATGGTGTGGGCCGCCGATTGTCACTCTCCGCTCGTATTAATCGACCGTGGCATCAAAATAAATGCCGAATATTATCGCGAAAATATTCTGGAGGGTGTATTAAAGCCTTTGGCCGCAAACCTTGGAAATTTCAACAGGACTCAGCACCATCGCACTCAGCACGCGTCACCCAAGAATGGTTACAAAATGAGGTTCCTCGCTTCATTTCCAGCTCACAATGGCCACCAAAATATCCGGATACAAATCCGTTGGACTTTTGTGTCTGGAGTATTTTGGAAAGCAAGGTTGAAACTAAAAAATACCAAAGTGTCGATCACTTCAAGCTAGCGCTTCGCCGGGAATGGGCCAAAATACCGAAGAGCAACATTCGGGCAGCGTGTGACGGTTTTCTTTGGCCGTTCCAAGGCCATAATTCCGGCCAAAGGTGACCAATTCGAACAAATCTAAACTTAAACCAATTCTAACAAATCGAAACTAAATTTTGATGCTATTTCCGATTTGATGCTACTTCCTTAATATACTTACACATCGACGCCTCCAGCCAGGTAATAAATCAATGAGAATATGGCATAAACTAAACCCAATATTAGAGGATATACAACATGCAATAAACGTGTGGGAAATGCCACCAACATGTGATCCAATACCATCAATATAGAGTTGAAGCCATGGGCCCATAGATTGTATAGATCCGAGGCATTGGCATTATCATCTGAAAAAATATAACAAAAATGGTAAAATTTTTCAAATCTCATAGATATTAAAGAAAAAACTTACTTGGGAATATAAATAGCCAATACATAAAGGTTATGACTGTTGCCACAACCAAAACACACCAATGAGAACACCAATACACTTTCAGAACTTTAGGCTTATTGTCTGAAAGAATTACAATTCTCAACTTATTCTGCACCACAGCTAATCCTGAACTTTTAACTTACCAAAATACGTTGGACAAAAATGATAGATTGTGACCAGTATAGCACCAAACCAACTTATGTACATGCATAGCAGAAAACCCCAATCGGTGAGATAAATAAACCATCTACCTGCGCCAAATTGCTGGATCAAACTGCCCAATACACCCACACCAAAACACAACGCCAGACCCCAACGATACAACAACCATAGATAGGATTTTTGTGAGGTTTGCCACTATAAGATTTTTTTTGGATACATTAAAGTGATATTTTGTTATTTTTTTGCAGATATCAATCTTACTTGAGATTTGAGAAAATCATCGACCGGCTGATGGGATAAACTGAATTTTTCCTTTTGAAATTCCTTGGCTATGGGATGAAATGTGCGATAACATAGACTAGATTTATTATTGGCCATCTGAAAAGTGTAGAAAAGCGGGGATGTAGAATGAAAATGAGGGGTCAATGTCGATTGAAAAAAAAAAACAATGAAGGAAGAGAAAAGACAAAAATGTGCAACCAGATTATGTGTTTGGCCTTCTTCGATATTTCGATAAAATCAAGAAAAACTAGATTAAACTGGGCAATCTTTGAATGGCCTTTTGTCTACCCAATTTCGCCCTTCCGTCATATTTAATATCCTACAGCATACAATGGAGGGTAGATTCAATTAGTCGTTTCCTTTGCAAAACCTGAAATATTTATCCGATATTTCTGAAAAGTGTATATATTTTGGTAAGCGTAGAATCCAATATCCTTCTCTTGAAATCTCGATAGAACTCGCATTATTAAAATTGGAGCCTTATAATTTTGCAGGTATATTTACACTATACCTAGAAATGTTGGTATCGGAAATGAAATATATCGGTTCACTCAATATCCAACCAAATCAACTGTAATTTAACATTTCGAGGTCTCAGTGGGTAGGTAACTGCTCGCGAAAAATATTTTATGGCACAGCCCCTTCATATCATGATCCTACTTGATTTTCGAAGGTGGCTAGCTTAACCCCTCGCAAAAAAATTGAATGTAGGTCCACTTTTTGATATGGACCCTATAAAGCAGTACCCAACAAAATTAGCTGTAATTTGGAATTGTAGGTCCTTACTTTAACTCCTTGTTGAAATCAGAGTTCTGCTACATCCGACTGCAATCAGCTCTGTTCAGCATGACTATAATGAAACAAATCCTTTAAGAAAGAGCACCATGATGCCCTAGGTTCTCTCTTCACCATGGCAACAGCAGAATTATGAATTTGGGGAGAGCCATTAGAAGGTCAGTCAGCAGGGGTACCGCGCAGGGCCCTGTTGTATCACCATTATTGTGGTGAATAGTTGTTAATAATATACTCAAGGATCTCAAAGAAACTGCTTCTGCTTAAGCTTCTTATATGGTTATGGTTCTCTTGATTGCAGCGAAGTTCCTGCAAACAATTTCAGCTCTAATGTAGGGATATTTTGTTAAATTATCAATGAGTTAGTCGAAAACCCGTCAAAAACGGGGCTCGTACTATTCACAAGAAAACGTAAATATCCTGAAATCTTACCACCAAGAATGGATGGAATCACGTTAGCTCTTTCCTCAGAAGCCAAATATTTTGGTACTGCCCTTCTGAACTGAAAGTTGAATACTGAGGAGGGCGCGAGCAGAGGCAAAATCGCACTCTACTCTTACAAGGACTCTGTAGGTAAAAGTTGAGGCCTTAAACCACATATAATCAAGTGAATATATGAGTCAATTGTTCGCCTGATTCTAGCTTATGGAGCTATAGTCTGGTGCACGAGGCATTGGTCAATTTTAAATAGCTTCATCGCACACCTCAGCCTTCCCTAGATACTCTACATCGCATAAGTTCGTTAAGTCTCTACGTGGAGGATCTGGCAATCAGTTGTGCTCTACGGCTCAGGGAACTTAAAAAATGGCTTTGGACACTCTGCGATCTTAGATCGTGTGGAATGTATAGAAGGCGATGTCAAAACCAGTCACTATGTATTACCACGTTTGAACTTCGAACCACTTGAAATCTGCTTCCATTACAACCGATATATGCTGAGGATTTCATGATCGAATGTGGAACGGATGCTGGGGTCTTCTGATATATCATTAACGTTAACAAACCCTACAAACTAAGCAAAGGCAGTAGATTAAAACGACAATAGATCTATAGGAACAAATAGGAACAGTGAAGATAACGGTCCGGTGACTATATGTGTCTATAGGCAAGCGGCACTGAAGGCGTTAAATTATTTTACCATTAAATCTATGACAGTTGAAGAGGAGAGAATCCTTGAAATAGCTAGGATGTCCATCAAGCTCTGTTTGGGTGCAAGGCCACTGCAGTATATCTGGTAATGGGTACCAGATGAACTGGCAAGACGGCAATCTGAATCAACTTACATTGATGTCGAGAACGCGGCTAGACCACCCTTGTGCCATTTTTTCTTTCGATACACGAGTACTACTCTGGGTGAATAAAAAATGGTTAGGTAAAGAGGGATAAATGTAATGTCTAAGAAAATTTGGCTTATATCCGGGAAAAGAACGAGGTTGTTCATCTCAATGGCGAACCTGACCTAAAACTTGTGGTGGGTATCAACACAGGGTCGCGACTTCTAAGTAGAGTGGCGATGAACCCTTTTGTAGTAGTTTGCATTCTAGGATGGTTGGTATTGAAAATGAGATAAATCGGTCCACGTTTTGGGAAAGCCCCCATGTAATGGTACCTCCCGATATTGGGGGTTTTGATAAGTTTAGCCACATATTTGTCTAAAAATTGGAATTTGTAGTTTGTTATGGGTTTTAGATCTATTGGCGGAACATTAGACATATAGGTCCACGTTTACGAATAGCCCCCTCCCGATGTTCGGTATTTTAATCATTTTTGCCACATTTTTCCACGGGTTTGTCTAAAAAATTCTATTTATTGCTTGTAAAGGGTTCCAGCTTCGGTGACAGAACTTTGGTTATATAGGTCCACTTTTTCGTATAGCTCCTATATAACGGTACCTTCCGATATTTTGATGGTTTTAGCCACATTTTTCCACAGATTTGTCTAAAAATTTGTATTCGTAGATCATAATGGGTTCTAGCTCCGGTGGCAAAACATTATATATAAAGGTTCACGTTTTCGCACATATAACGATATCCACTGATATTCATTTATTTGTTAGTATGTTAATTTTCCATTTTATAAACCAATTTGTTCAGCAGTGGGGATCAAATTTATTTTTTGCGAAGAGGGACCCCTTTTTCTAGATGAAATTACTCCTTGAATTTTGACGTTCACCACTCACAATTTACCTTCAAAAACGTCCAAACGGCACCCCAGAGTATACCACAATTCACTCTTAGCCTATTGCCGGTTAACTGATAGAATATACGTCTGGCCAAGACATCCATACCAAATTTTTTTTTGTTTCGCTGAATTCAATCAAACAGATTCCTTATCACATTGGGGAAGTGACGCTCACTCTTTGGCCAAATGGTCGTGATGTTGTTGTTTTTGTTATAAATTATTTAGTTAAGACCCCGATATTTGATTGTTATCAGCCGTTAAAACAATTGTTAAACGTCTAAGATATGATTACTGTGCGCAGCTATATTACATTTGTGTTTTGATTAGTAAGTGTTTCTGGCGCTAGGCTGCCTACTTTTTTTTGCTTTAAAAATTAATCCGAAACATTTAAGAATTGACTTTCACTTTTAGTTATCTCTGCAGGGATTAGTTTTTATGGTTTGAGGGCGAGGAGGTGGCAGCAATATAATCAATATTTTAATATTATATTTGTCCCCCATGCCCTTCCCTTTTTTTAAACAAAGTTAATAGTTTTTTTTTGTTTTCGTTTCTAAAGACAATGTGTTTTGGTTCCCATAATTGAGGAAAAACAGGAGAAGAAGAAGAAAAAGAAACGCTTAATTGAATATTCAAAACAGGATACGAATATGCGTTAGGTACACTCGACCTCATTCAACATTGTGCCCAACAATAATTTAAAATTGTTTTTTTTTGAACTTTTCTAAAGGTTTTTGAGTTTCATTTGTCCTTGAAGTGTCATATAATAACATATATTTATTCCATCTTATGTTGTGTGTGGAGTATATTCTGAATAGCCTGAATGGGTAAGGATAGAGGGAATGTGATGACAGTTTAATGCTATGGTGCAATGGAACAAAATTCTTTACAAAAAAAAAATTATAGGTTACACATAAATCAGTCCCATTTTATCAGGCAGTGAATCATAGGACCTCTTCCCACAGGATTATGAGAATATTTTTTAGACAATGGTTGGAAAATAAGAAAAAATGAAGAGAGGAATTAAAAAACCAGTAAGGAAAGCTCAAAAGTCGGGCGGGGCCGACTATATGATACCCTACACCACTATGCATATTTAGTAGAGCTCTCGTAAAAAGGTTTATACAGGGCATTTCAGAGCTCTATGAGATATTTGGTACAAAATCAAAATCTATCTAATTCTATCGTGCATTTTACGAACTATAGCTATCTCTGAACCGGGTTTCTCCAAATTTTACGTATTAGCTTCTAGACTGGTGATTTGGGCTGATATTGACCATTTAGTGCACATTTAACCTGAAATCGGATGAAGATATATATGAGAGCTATATCCAAATCTGAACCGATTTCGATAAAATTTAAAACAGCTATTCCTGTGCTCCATCTAATACCTGGTACCAAATATCACGGTTGTGGAGTGAATATTACGAATGTGTGGGACTAAAACTCTAAATCGGATGAAACATGTATATGGTTGCTATATCTATATCTGAACCGATTTTCACTAAATTTGATATACTTGCTTCTAGGCTGAATTTGGTCCGATGTACTAAAATTCAGTCCATTTGGACTTATATCGGCCATTTGGTGCACAATTAACCCGAAATCGGATGAAGATATATATGGGAGCTATATCCAAATCTGAACCGATTTCGATAAAATTACAAACAGCTATTTCTGGGCTGTATCTTATATCTGGTACCAAATATCATTCTTGTGGAGTGCATATTACGAATGTGAGAGGCTTAAACACCAAATCGGATGAAAGATATATATGGGAGCTATAGCTATATCTGAACCGATTTTCTCCAAATTTGATATATTTGCTTCTAGGCCGAACTCGGTTGGGTGTGCCAAAATTCAGGTAATTTGGACTGATAGTGGACATTTGGTGCACATTTAACCCGAAATCGGATGAATATATATATGGGAGCTATAGCTGTTTCTGAACCGATTTTCTCCAAATTTGTTGTATTTGCTTTAAGGCTAATCTCGGTTACATGTGACAAAGTTCGGGCCATTTGGGCTGATATTGGCCATTTGGTGGTCAATTAACCCGAAATCGGATGAAGATATATATGTGAGCTATATCCAAATCTGAACCGATTTCGATAAAATTTAAAACAGCTATTTCTGTGCTCCATCTTATACCTGGTACCAAATATCACGGTTGTGAAGTGCATAGTAGGAATGTGAGGGACTTAAAGATCAAATCGGATGAAAGATATATATATAGGAGCTATAGCTATATCTGAACCGATTTTCTCCAAATTTGATATACTTGCTTCTAGGCCGAACTCGGTTGGGTGTGCCAAAATTCGGGTAATTTGGACTGATAGTGGATATTTGGTGCACATTTAACCCGAAATCGGATGAAGATATATATGGGAGCTATATCTAAATTTGATCCGATTCTCACAAATTTCAATAGGGTTCGTCCCTGGGCCAAAAAAATATTGTTTAGAAAATTTCATCTCAATCGGATAATAAATGCGACCTGCATTTTGTTCACAAGAATACATGGACAGACGGACGGACGGACGGACTGACATGCATAAATCGACTCAGAAAGTGATTCTATGAAGGTTCTCAAAAGTAACTATGGGTCTATCTCGTTTCCTTCTCCATGTTACAAACAAATGCACAAAGACATAATACCCTTACCACTATGTGGTGTAGGGTATAAAAATGCAAAGAAAGTCTAAAAGTCGGGCGGGGCCGACTTTATGATACCCTACACCACTTTGCATATTTAGTAGAGCTTCACATAACAATTAAAAGGTTTTATGGGAGAATTCAATCATACACACCATGATTATAATTATAATTTAAAGTTCGAAGGACTAAATATGCCGAAGCATTTGTATCTTTTAAATTCGGACTTGTATTGCCCATTTGGTGCACAATAAATTTAAAATCGGATAAATCTATATATATAGGAGCTATATCCAAATCGGAACCGATCTCCATAAAATTTGGCATAGATATTTCTGAGCTGTATTTACTATATGTTCCTGAATATCGTTGTTACGGAGTGAATATTACGGCTGTAGGGAACAAATATAACAAATCGGATGAACAATATATATGGGAGCTATAGCTATATCTGAACCGATCTTCACCAAATTTGACATACTAGCTTCTAGATTCAATTCGGTCGTAAGTGCCAAATTTCATCCCATTTGGACAAATATTAGACGTTTGGTGCACAATAAAAGGTGAATCGGACGAAGTTATATATGGGAATTATATCCAAATCTGAACCGATCTCGATAAAATTTAGCAAATGTATTTCTGAGCTACATTTGTTATATTTCCCCAAATATTGTTGTTACAGAGTGCATATTACGGCTGCGGAGGACAAAAATAACAAATCGGATGAACAATATATATGGGAGCTATAGCTATATCTGAACCGATTACGATCAAATTTGGCATACTTTTTTCAGGTCTAATTTGATTGTATGTGCAAAATTCCATACTATGTGGGCTGATATTACACGTTTGGAGCACCAAAAAGGCAAATCGGACGAATATATATATATATATATATATATATATATATATATATATATATATATATATATATATATATATATATATATATATATATATATATATATATATATAATATATATATATATATATATATATATATATATATATATATTGACCGATGATCTCCAATTTCAATAGGGTTCGTCCTTGGGCCAATCAAATGATTTGTGCAAAATTTCATCTTAATCGAATAAAAAATGCGACCTGCATTTTGTTTACAAGAATACATGGACAGACAGACGGACGGACGGACAGACGGACTGACATGCATAAATCGACTCAAAATGTGATTCTATGCTGATCACCAAAAAGGAACTATGGGTCTATCTCGTTTCCTTCTCCATGTTACAAACAAATGCACAAAGACATAATACCCTTACCACAATGTGGTGTAGGGTATAATGAAAAGGGTATTGTAGCATTTTTTTAGCCCTTCCACCATTTTTTGGAAGGTATATTAAATTTGTCATTCCCTTCGTAACACTTCGAAATATACATTTCAGACCCCAAGAAGTAATTTCTTGTTCAGTGTAAAATGCTATGTCGATTAACGATGTCCAGCCGTCTGTCTGCCCATTTGTGGAAATCACTCTAGCTTCCGAACGGTGTGAAGTAGGTTGATAAAATTTTACTCAGATGTGTGTTTTGGGTCTGCAGGTCGTTTGATATTGATAATAGGCTATATGGGTTCACGTTTTGGTATAGGCTCCATACATCTGTAGCGTTAGATTTAGGGGCTTTTGGTTGTTTTAGTCACAATTACAACTAGAATTGGCAGTCTAAAGTTACAGTTTGTGCTGTTAGTACAAGGTGGCACAAAAGTAGACTTCCGATGTTTTTTTTTGGCTGTAATTTAAAAAAAAAACCTTGATTCTTCTTGTCGAATATTTTTATACCCTCAGCCATATGGCTAAAGAGGGTATATAACATTTGATACGGCCAAAACTTAGTACATCGTAATATTGTTATCAAACTTAGATCGAATTCGGAGATGGGCAATATCGGTCCACTCCTTCTGGTACCTCCCCAACAAAATGTCAACATTTTTACAGAAATTTATTTTCCTTATAGAACAAGAAAATATCATCAAATGTTGAAACTGTGAACATTCAAACGTTTTTACCAGACCTAGGTCAGGTGTGGATATGAATAATATCGGCCCAGTTCATTAAGTTCCTCATATAAAATATGAAGTAAGGGTCCGATTGTCTTCAAATTTTACAGTTTTTAACATTTCTATCAACACAAGATCTTGTGTGAAGATGGAGTATATCGGACCAATCCTTCTGGAACCTCCCCCATAACGGGTCAAAATTAAGAGTAATCATTAAGTTTATAAAACGCGAAATAAACCTCAATTTCCGTTCAAATTCGGCACACTCCAATATTTCTATTAACAGAGGATCTGGTGTGAAGATGAAATATATCATACCACTCCTTCTGGTACCTCCCCCACAAGAGGTCAAAATTTTTTGATAATTATGAAGCTCTTTAAACCCGAAATGAACATCAGTTATTTTCAAACTTGACACATGCCAATATTTCTGCTAACACAAGACATGGCGTGAAAATGGAATATATCGGACCACTCCCTCTGGTACCTCCCCCACACAACGCTTATAAATACGATATCCCCTCAATTTTTGCACATCCAAATATTTTTATTACTACAAGATCTGGTGTGAAGATGATAGATATCGGCCCACGGCTTCTGGGCCGATAAAAGGAAGGATGATCCGATTTTGCTCCAACTTTGCAAATCTTAATATTTCCATCTGTGCTAGGTCAGGTGCGAAAATGAACAATATCGGTCCACTGCATCAAGTACCTCTCTTCAAAGGGTCAAAGT